GATTCTGTAGGTACAAGCAACGAGGGTCTGAATACGTTGGCTAATATCGGTATAACTACAACTGCAAGAGCAGTAGAAATAGATGGTCAAAAATATATGAATCAGGATGATTTTGTTTCGGCCATAGCACCGGAAGAGGATTATAAAAAAATTCAAAAGGAACAATTCGGAATATTATTTAGAATAGCTGACAATGGTAAAAAAGGATTAATATCTTTTCAGGATTTTGTAATTTTTGAAAATTTACTTTCAAAACCGGATGCCGAATATGAAATCGCTTTTAGACTATTTGATGTCGAAGGAAAAGGAAAAATTACCATCGAACAATTCAAAAATATTTTGTCTTCGAATGTCACCCCAGATAGTATACCCTTTGATTTTGATTGTGATTGGTTAAAATTATATGTTGGTAGAGCACCAGAAAAAAAACATGAATTGGCTTACGAAGAGTTTACGCAATTATTAAAAGGATTGCAAGCAGAACGACTTAGGCAAGAATTTAAATTTTATGATAAAGAAGGTATTGGATATATCACACCTGATAATTTTAAAAAAATAATTCTTTCTATAGCGAGGCATAAAATTTCCGATTATGTTATTGAGAACCTACCTACGTTGTGTAATCTTTATGCCGGCAATAAGATCAATTATGCAAGTATCGTGGCTTTTCATAATGTCGTGCGACAGATGGACATGGTGGAAAGAATTGTTCATAAAGCTATTTCTGAAAGCGGTGATGGAAAAATTACCAAAAATGATTTTCTTAACACCGCTTCAAGAGAAACAAGGTTTTCACTGTTCACTCCATTAGAAGCAGACATTATCTTTCATTTTGCTGGTTTAGGAAATCCATCAGGAAGATTATCAAGGCACGACTTTGCCCAACTTTTGGATCCTAAGTGGGAACGACGAACTGAGATCAAACCAATTACTAAGATACAAACAAAGGAACATACTGGGGTTGGATGGGTGTTATTACACCAAATTTACACTTTTTTCTTAGGATCAATAGCTGGTGCTGTGGGTGCAACGGTTGTGTATCCTATCGACCTCGTCAAGACTCGAATGCAAAATCAACGATCTAGGGTGGTAGGAGAATTGTTATACAGAAATAGCATAGATTGTTTTCGAAAGGTAATACATAATGAAGGTTTACTAGGTCTTTACAGCGGTCTCGGTCCTCAGTTGGTGGTAAGTCACTTTTATATGTACGTGACAATTTTTATATTACATTTGATTACATGACTCTATCGTTTATTTTAGGGTGTAGCACCGGAAAAGGCTATAAAGTTGACTGTAAACGATTTCTTCCGGGCCCGATTTAAAAACAAAGAAACTGGTGCTATTCCAATATTTTATGAAATTCTTTCAGGTGGAATAGCCGGAGGCTGTCAAGTTGTAAGTTCTTTGTTTCCCTAAACCACCCAACGAATTTGTGAAAAAAAAACTAGTTCACTAATATGCTGATAACTTATTTTTTTAGATTTTTACCAATCCATTAGAAATTGTAAAAATCCGTCTTCAAATTCAGGGAGAAGTTGCCAAAAATGTAGATATACCACGTAAATCTGCACTTAATATTATAAAAGATCTTGGCCTCTTTGGTCTTTATAGGGGCGCAAGTGCATGCTTACTTCGCGACATCCCATTTTCTGGAATATATTTCACAACATACGCCCACATAAAAAAGGACATATTTGGCGAAGGACCAAACAAAAAATGTGGTATAGTTGAACTCTTGATTGCTGGTGCTGTGGCAGGCATGCCAGCAGCGTACTTAACAACTCCGGCAGACGTAATCAAAACTCGTCTACAAGTTGAAGTTCGTAAAGGTCAAACAGGTTATAGTGGTATATTTGATGCTTATAGAAAAATTCTTCGTGAGGAGGGTCTTAAAGCATTTTTCAAAGGTGGCCCAGCACGTGTATTTAGATCCTCTCCACAATTTGGCACAACATTAATGGTTTATGAACTATTGCAAAGATGGCTTCCATGGTCAAGCTCCGAAGAACAAGTGGGAAAAGTAGTTTCAGCCGTTACGGATACTGGTGACCTTGGACATTTGAAAAGTAGAAATGCATTAAAGATTTTATTGGTATTTATGAAAGTTTCTTCTATTGGATTGATTGTTTATTATTACTGTTCTAACGAATTTAAACACTTTTACAAAAGGACTTGGATTATAAATTTGGGGTAGTGCCAAAAAATATTTCTACATCAATTTAGATTATACGTACATTTGACTATACAATATTTATTTGTTTATAAAACATCATAGTGCATTTAAGATAAATATAAAATCGGGTTTTCTTTCCCTTATTTAAGGATTCTATTTTCGTCCGAGGTTAAGTCACTCGATAAGCTATAGTAATGATTACGTGACTATATTAATAGGATTAGTGCAGTAATAGTTTGGGAGACTTTAACCCGGGTTAAAATAGAATTCCCTTCTATTTAAAGATCAAAACTATTTAGATTAATGATAGAATTTTTAAATATTATTGAAATATATAATTGAACTTAGAGCTTATGAGGTAATATATTTTCTTTAAAAGATTACAGTAGTCTTGTAGACGCTAATTTGACATGAACTAATTTCCATTTATAAGAGCTTATTACTGAAAGTGTATGATGTAGATCCAACAACTGCTTTGCTTAGCGAGTAGTTATGCGCTTTAACAAATGGGAATTTTATAAATTATTGTTGCAGAATTATTAGGATTTGAGTTAGTATTACTTGATTCTGAATCTGACCGACTTCAATTCATTGTAACTCAAGTTCTCGAATGCCATTTTCCCGAAAGAACATAATCCCGATAAAGTTAGCTGTTAGCTACAATGCTGGTTGATTTAAGCGAAAATTTCAATTTGGGACGCAACATCTATACAAATATATATATCGCATTAACTTAAAAATTGTCTGTATTATTGATGTTTTTTTTTTAGTAAAATACATTCTTAGCTATATATATTGCATTAGGATTTTTTTAATAAAATATGCTATTAATTTAATTAGATTCTTGAAAAAAAAAAAAAAAAGTTTTTTAATGTTAGACTATATAAAAAATTTTTTTGGTTTTTATAAAAAGAAAAATTTAACTAAAACGCACCTATGATGTTTTACACCTACGTATGCTCTCAAAAACTGGCTAATTAATCGGAGTGAGGTGTTCTAAGTAAAAATGTTCTATGCCCAAAAAACCCTTCCCAAATCTTAATTCTAACTGCAAGTACTAACCTTAATATAAAAAAATTTGTGTTAAAAATTTTATATAAAATACTTAAAAACATATAATAGGTGCAAAACACCATAGATGTGTTTTATAATAATTGTAAAAAAATAACAACTTAATCACTTTACTAAGTTATTATATTTTATAATTTTCTTTTTTTTTCTTTCTAATTCAGCTATCCTGCCCTTATTTATTTTAGAACCAAGTCAATTCAAAAATTACAATAATTTTATTACTGGACTATTTTAGATACAACCAAAATAAAGACTTGCTTATGTGATTTTATCTACCAGACATAACCTGCCTCAGTAGCTCTTGGTCTCCCTTTAGGTCCTTAACATATATTAGCAAATTTATAGTAGTGTAATTTTATGTAAGATCTTGCAAACTATAATACAGTAAGACCTCTCTAAGTGCATGCTCTATAAGTATATACACTATGTAATTCTCTCTAAATGCATGGTATAGCTTGGCCCCCAAATTATAAAAGCATTATATACTTTGCAGAAACCTTTGATTTTGCTAAATATATTTACAATATAATAAGAATATAATTAAAATATAATTAAAATAT